TGCAAGTGCTCTCTCTCTCTCTCTCTCTCTCTTCCTCTCTCTCTCTCTCTCTCTCTCTCAAAATAAATAAATTAACTTAAAAAAATCCCCACAAACAAATGTTAGAAAGCAACTTGGGAATTCTCAATGGCCTTTGTCATAAGACGCTTAGACCAGTTTCTGAAGACGCTTAGATACTTAGGACTGCCTAAGTATCACGATCTTTCCCCTGCCGTTCATGCTGTCCAGGAAGAGTGTGCTGGCATGTCACTGGCACACCAGCAGACATGAAGTGGGGTGGCAGGGACAAAGGTGGCTGACTGCAGACGAGAGGTACGGAAGAGAATAACAGACCACTTTCACTGCAGGTCTGATCTCTTCCCTGATGGCTCTATTCTGCTGGGTGAGTGCTAATGTGCCCAAAGTCCATGACCTGACAATGTCCTGCACTGGGCATGCCACGTGTCCTGCGAATCAATTCCCCTGTGCCTGTTGAGCTGTCCTGGAATGCATCCAGGCAAAGGCTGCATGGGCTCTTGGCTTCCCTCAGTCCCGTGGGGCTGACCACACTGTCCTGCACTGACCTTAGCTTCCCTTCATCCTCATGACATTCTGTCCTTCCCTGGAGGCCACTCTCTCATAGCAGCCTGAGCACCACCCTATGTCCTGCCATCATCATCACACTACCTGGAGTCACCCAGGACAGCCACTGAGCATCCCCAGACCTGCTGAATCCACCTCTGAGGTGGGGCCCAGCCCTGGGCCTGCTCTTCAACCAAGCATCCTAGGTGGGTCACTGGGGCAGCCTTGCTCTCTGCCATGTCTGGTGCTTGCTCTCCAGGGACCTCCCGCTGCTCCTCAGCCACCAGGAGGCTCTGTCCCAGCAGGTAGGCCATCGCCCCCAGTTTCCCTGGTACCTCACCCAGCCCATGTGGCTACTGCCCCCCACTTCCTGCTGGACTCACCAGCCTCCTGATCTCCAAGCCCTCTTCTCTAAGTTGGATTTCCACATACTCTTTTACTTTGGGGACCCCAGACTCCACCACTACCTTGGACGCAGTGCTGTCCTGTGCCCCCTGCTGCTGACCCCTGGGACCACTGTTCCATCAGACCTCTCTACCCCTTCCTGACACGGTAACTGCTCTCTGGCGCACAGGGCCCAGGTGGAGTACCACCAGGCTGCACTCATCACCCCTGTGCACCTCTGCCCATGCCAGTTCTCCAAATTCTTAAGAACCTTCTTCCTAGTATAACCACCCTGGAAAATCCCTGCTTCAACCTGCTGCACCTCTGTGCTAAAACTGCAGAAAGCTGATAATAATCATGGGCCTACCTCAAAATCACCCTTCCCTCCACCCTGTCTCTTTCCCTGAGTTTCTGCCCTGAGGCTTATCTGTGACTGAGCTTCTGGAAGAGGCATGGACAAGCCCTTGAAAGTGGAATCTTTTTTATTTTTTATATATTAAAAAAGATCTTTTTTAAGTTTATTTATTTGAGACAGGCAGAGACAACAGGAGTGGGGGAGGGGTAGAGAGAGAGGGAGAGACAGAGAGAATCCCAAGCAGACTCTGCACTGTGAGCACACAGCCCCAATGAGGGGCTTGAAATCATGAAATTGTGAGATCATGATCTAAGCTGAAGCTGAGAGTCGGACACTTAACCCACTGAGCCACCCAGGCGCCCCTTGACTATGGAATCTAACATGGCTGCTTCCTCCTCCCCCGCTCCTCCTCCTCCTTTTCCCCTCCTCTCCCATTGCCCTCCACATCACCCCACTCTTGCTCTCTCCCCATCTCTGTCTCTACCTGCTGTTACTGGCCTGCCCATCCCACTTGCCCCAAGATTGTAGGGACCTTCCCCGAGAGTCAGGAACACTTTCCATTCCCACAGAGACATCCTCTATCCATCTAGGCCATACTTGGGAAAGACTAAGTGACTTGGGCTACAGGGCAGTCATATTGTGAGATTCCAGGACAGTGTAAGGGTAGAGTCAGTAGCAGATTTTAAGGAAAAAAAAATCAGTCCTTTATTAATAATTACTGAATCTTGCCATCATTTATAAATCGCAGGTGGAAACAGAGCAGATTAATCCATACATAATTCAATGCTCCATTTTAAAGGAATGGTAGAAGAAATTTAAAATGGAATCAACCGTAATTTATGCTTGATATGTATCAGTGGAATTCTCCATTTTGTTACTTTTCTTTTTTCAGAAGCTATTAGATAATTCAAAACATCAATATCCTTAGATATCACCCATCATTTATCAAACAGCTGTAATATTTAGCTAAGCAAAATATGCCCAACCAGAAACACTCAGCTTCTCACAAATCACTGTGGGTTGGTGCAGAGGGAAAGGAACAGCTTTCTACCTAATGTGCTAATCATGACTGCGCCCAGCCCAGAGGCTAGATATGCCGAAAGCCCTCTCCAGGCTGCTGCCTCCACGCGGGCGCGGGCGCTGGAGGTCCAGAGCCAGGGGCACCTCCCACCTCCCAGCAATGGTATGTCTGGAGAAGAAGCATTTGCACGAGGCATCTTTACTTTCTGTGAGATTTCTTTGTTGTTGTTGTTTAAGTAGGCTCCACACCAATGCATGGCTTGAACTCATGACCCTGAGATCAAGACCTGAGCTAAGATCAAGAGTCGGATGCTCAACCGACGGAGCCACCCAGGTGCCTCTCCTGTGAGATTCTTAAGTTCCTTCCAGTGGCATCAGTTATCTACTGACATTCAGAGCTAAGACTCTCTCCTGGAGTCTTCATCCCAGCTCTCAAGGCCAGTCAAGACCAGCACTGTAAGTTCCTCTCCTGGCTATCTGGCTATGCTCATTCAACCCAACCTTTCTGGGCCCATTTCGACCCTCGTCCTTCCCACATTCTGGCCATAGGGACAGAAAGTGGATGGATTTGAGAGGGTCAGGAGGTTGAGGCATGAGACGAGGGACTCTGAAATAAGTGGGTGCCCCAGGAGGGGGCTCATTAACCAGGAGGCAAGTCCCAGTTCTGGTTGGGCATATAGAACCTTCTGTTTCCCAGCCTTGTAAGGTTGGAGAATACTTACTGGTTCGAAGCATACTTACTGGTCTGTAAGATATTAGGAGAGCCGTGGGTGGAAGGAGCTGTGTGGGTGTAAATTGCCATCATTATTACAACTTCCAGGAAGGGAGGAAGACCTACCATCACAATCCCCGCCTTTGCCAGGTATAGCCCCACGTTTTAAGAGCCAACAGTGGAAAACCAAAACTCGCTGAGGTTTGCCATCTCCCTCGGCTTCGGGTTCATTACCTGTGTAGTCTTCTTCGTCCTCAGGAACCTCGGCCTGGGGCGGTGACAGAGCGGCCTTGGGTGGCTCCAGCTCCGGGGTCGAAAGCTCCAGCATCCGAGAGCGAGACTGATGGGAAATGAAAGTGTTGTATGGGTGCTCCGCTGTGCCGTACAAGATGAGGCTCCATTCTTTCAATTTCCCTGGAAGACACCAAGCCCAGAGTTACCGGACAGCCATGAAACCTCCCTCAGAAAGTCCTTGAGGCGCCTGGCCCGAGGCCGCCATCACTCACAGAAGAACCAGGCGCAGGGCTCCTCCTGGGGGCTCTTCACCCACCATCTAGTCACCGGAGAACCAAGGACGTGCCAACTTCCCAGGCCATGTTCTCTGTCCCCCAGTCTCACATGGCTCTGCTGATTGGCTTCCTTGCCCTCTTGGACTATCCAGTGGGTGGACCTGGGGCCTGGCCCTGAGACTTTTCCCATTTGCTTCCAAAGGTGAAAGCTGGATTCCATATACCGAGGAGTCCTGCTATTTGCATCCTTGACCCTGGATCACACGAAGATTGGTCTTGGGATCCTTCCTATGTAGCCCGCCAAGGTGGGTGGGAAGTGTGGTAGGGTGGGAATAGCAGTGCAAACCCAAATGTCCCCAGATGCTGGGTGTAGAGAGGATGTCCTCAAAAATGGCAGGATGGGGGCACCTGGGTGGTTCAGTCAGTTGGGCATCTAACTCTTGATTTCGGCTTGGGTCACGATCTCTCGGTTCGTAAGTTCAACCCCCACTTCAGGCTCTGTGCTGGCAGTGTGGAGCCTGCTTGGGATTCTCTCTCTCTGCCCCTCCCCTGCTCATGCTTGCGCACTTTCTCTCTCTTCTCTTTCTCAAAATAAATAAACTTAAAAAAAAAAAAAGCCAGGATGAATGGCACAGAGGCTGGATTGTGCATGGGGAAGTGAGAAGCTTGGGGAGGAGGGGTAAGGGCAGTGTGCCCAGCCATGAGTGAACAGGGGTGGGGACCCCACCGTCTACTTCCATGTGGGAATGATGGCCCATGCTGCTAGGTCTTCCCAGGTGTACAGAGAAGTGGAAATCTGGCCTGCAATTTGTAGGTGAAATCCCTGATCTTATAAAACACAGTAGAAGCCAAGTTAGATATGCCTGGGGCTGGCCCAGCTACACGCACCACGGGTCTGAGCTTCCCTTCCTAACTATGTGTTCCCAGCATTCAGGGAGGTGAGACCATATTGAGGAGGTCATTGCTGTTATTCTTGTGCAAATGAGAGGCCAAGGTCCAATGTGGCCAGCAGGGGACACACTGTTCATGCTGAAGGACTCACTGCCTCTCCACCCCAGCAACCATGCAGCTGTGAGCCACCTCAATGAACCCTCATGACAGGCCACGGTGACCCAAGCTAGGGACAGTGTCTTTGCCAGCTTCGCATCTGTGTCAGCTGGGAAAAATCTCTGGCTTCCTCTTCATTTTCTATCATTGGGTTTCTTGGCAATCGGAATGCTTTAGGTGACGGGAATTATTGCTCTGATTAGTCCCTAAGTGATTTGTGTTTTTATTGTCGCTTCTGTTCACACTATTCCACTTCTTTCCTCTGAAAGGCAGGCCATCTGTCTTTAGATATCTGTCTATACACTATTTTTGCCACATGGTCAGCTCTGCCGGTATAACTTTATCTTTTATTCCAGTTCCAGGAATCCCTTGGACTCCCTAAATTCTACAACACGGGCTCCTGCTTGTCCACATACCCCAGAAGCCTGTGGGCTAAAACCCATACTGTCCTAGGAGGACAGAGGCAGGACTGGCTTGCAAATACCAGGCCACACTTAAAACTTACTGTGTTGTACCCCCCTTTTTTTTTTAATTTTTTTTTTTTTTAAATTTTTTTTTCAACGTTTTTATTTATTTTTGGGACAGAGAGAGACAGAGCATGAACGGGAGAGGGGCAGAGAGAGAGGGAGACACAGAATCGGAAACAGGCTCCAGGCTCCGAGCCATCAGCCCAGAGCCTGATGCGGGGCTCGAACTCCCGGACCGCGAGATCGTGACCTGGCTGAAGTCGGACGCTTAACCGACTGCGCCACCCAGGCGCCCCTTTTTTTTTAATTTTTTAATGTTTAATTATTTTTGAGAGAGAGACAGAGTGCAAGCAGGGGAGGGGCAGAGAGAGAGGGAAACACAGAATCTGAAGCAGGCTCTAGGCTCTGAGGTGTCTGCACAGAGCCCGACATGGGGCTCAACCCCATCAACGGTGAGATCATGACCTGAGCAGACTTAATGGACTGAGCCACCCAGGTGCCCCTTATTGTGCTCTTCTAAATGGTGTCTGATTTTGATTCAGTTATACAATGTGGCACAGAGCCACACTCTAGCCAACCAAGGTCCCAGGCCCCGAAAGCCTGCAGCCCTCAAGCTGTTCCAAGTCAGGCCCCACGTCACCTGGGCCTTTCCCGGCCTGGCCAGGGCTAGAGGATGCAGGTCCTTGAATTTGCAAAAATATTCCTGAGCTATTTCCCAGTACATGGACTTCCAAAGGGCCTGGTTCTTTTAGACACTCTGTGACCATTTCCCTAACACCATGAGAAGCACTTCACCCGTGTGCAGGTGCAGAAAACACAGTCCCTGATTATGAACTGTCATCCGTTCTCAACTTCTGAAGACCAAATTAGAGCCAGATTTCAAAACCACAGAGGAGCTGGGCACGTTAACTGCAGGGTGAGGAACCGATTAAGGGGGAGCACGAGGACCACACGACAGGGAGCAAGGCTCTGTAAGCTGTCATTTGAGTCAAGACCTGTTTCCGCCCTGTATCGTGTCTCCCAAAACACCCACGAAAGCCCTCACCACTAAAATTAGACTCGTATTTTCAGATAGGGCTTTGGTAGGACAAACAAAAGAGGCTGCTCTGAGCTCAGGATCAGCAAGCACCCAGCGGAGGGAGGGGGAGCAGGAGGAATTCAAAGAAACCAAGACAGTAGATCCTCAAAGTTCTCAGCACAAGGAGAAAAATCATTTTGTGTGTGTGTGTGTGTGTGTGTGTGTGTGTGTGTGTGTATGAGACAATGGATATTGACTCACTTATTGTGGTAACTACACACAATCTAGGTAAGTCAGGTCATTATGCTATACATCATAAACTTCTTCTTCTTTTTTTAAAATAGTTTCTTTTCGGGGAGCCTGGGTGGCTCAGTCGGTTGAGCGACGAACTTCGGCTCAGGTCATGATCTCACGGTTTGTGAGTTCAAGCC